CATATATTTTTATTTTTATTATATTTTTCTTTTTAGGGTATTAAATAGTTGGTTACCTTGGGGCGCAGCTAACTTGTTTGTTACTGTTGATTTATTTTAATTTATACGAACGGCTGAAAATCTCGCTCGCCCCAGGCTCTTGTCATTAGCTGAAATGCGCATTTCCGGCAAAGAGTTGCGCATTTTAATTAGGTGGCAACGCCAATGAGCCCACCGACCCAGCGACCCACCGAGCCACCGCTGAAATTTAGGCGGACAACGCCCACCTGCGGCGAGCTCTTTGTTTATACAAAATATGAAAATAGAACTGGGTCTGCAGTGGCCTGGGCCTGGGCCTCGTCCTGGGCCTGGGCCTCGTCCTGAGCCGGGGCGAAGGCGGCGTCTTCATTTACAAGACGCTAATGCTAATTGTAAGTGGAATTAGCGCAGATTAGCGGGCGAATTTTTAAGGCGCAAACAGGCACAAACAGCGCCAGGCACTCGGAATTTGTCTCAATCGCTGCTGTTGGCGACCTTGTTCTGGAAATCCTAATAGCGAAAGGATTAAGATGTCGATGCGTACTTGGCTACACGTAATTAACTCGAGACCTGTGGCTTTCCCACGACAGCATTGCCGTTTCCACTGCTGCTTCGCTTCTCTTTCATTTCGTTTCATCTGAGGCAGTTACACATATTTCGTTTTGCTCATGCAAAAGTCAATTGTGACTTTAATTGTGATTTGGGCATTTGCATAGGCCGCCAGGGCAGCATTGAGAAACTTAATTAAATTGAAGTAATCACTCTCTTATGAATTACCATAATCTGCCGCCGCGCCGCGCTGTTGCCTATGAATACATTTCCAGGCAGTCGGCGGCACAAGTGTAAAAGAAAACGCATTTCATAAATATATAATATTTTCCACTTGACTTATGAAAATATTTACGCGGTTCGCTTTTACGGTTTGCATAAGCCGAACTGAAAGTAACTTTTCCGTTTGCGTATGACGATTGGTGGGGGAGGAGCTGGAGCTGGAGCGGGAGCAGGCGGAGGCGAATGCAAATATTACGCCGCGTATACGCAATGTTCGGCAAGTCAAACAAGAGTCAGAGTCGTCTTGCTTACCACGAATAACGAAATTTTTAACAAGTCGGCAGTGTGAGTCAATTAATTCTTGTAAAATACATAAAAAACAAAATCCAACGAAATCCACTCAGGGAGCATCAGCAAAAAAAAAAAAAAAAAAAAAAAAAAAAAAAAAAAAAAAAAAAAAAAAAAAAAATGAAATAGAAGCAAATCCAAAGCACCCAGTAGAATACTCTGGGCTAGCTGGCAGGATTCGGCTCGGACTGGCGGACAGTTGTGCTAGCGGCGATGCTAACGCCATGAGAAGTGTGTAAATAGAGAATTTTATTTATGTCAGTCGTGTGTTTGTTGTTGTTTTTGTGTTACTTTTCTTTTTTTTTTTTATACTGTGAACTTTATTTCGTGTTTTTCGTTTTGGCTCCGAAGAGATTAAAATTTTATCTGACGCATAAATTAAACAAATAACGTGCCAGCAGAGCGTACGAACATATATCGGTGTATGTGTGTGTATGTTTGTTTGCCTGTGTGTATGTGTGTGTGTGTGTTTTGCTACTCAGCCTGTGTGCGTGTCCCAACAGCACAGGTGAGATTTGGGATTTATAATGTGCGCTCACGTAATTGACATTGTTAAATATTTGGATTACGTTTTACCTACACTTGGTCGAACTTTCACTTTCACTTCTTTTTCTCTCTCTCTCTCTCTCTCTCTCTCTCTTTCTCTTTTTTTAATGTACATATTTTTTTGCAAATATTGTATATTTACTTTTGCACTGAGTCTCTGTTTATCCTTGTGCACGATGCGTTAGAGTTTAACAAATTAAATTATTTTCGATTATGGCAGAAAATAGGTTCAGCAGCCACAAAAGTGTTTGAAAATGTTAGTTGTGAATATTTTGGTTTCTGTTTATAACTAACTTTTTAAAAGAAATTTAAATTTATTATTTATATACATGTTTTATTAAAGTATTCAGATTAGCTTTAATATTCCATGTAAATTCATTGAAATTTTCCTTTTTTTTTTTTTTTTTTTTKMCCMCTTTCAATTAGTAACSGAGCMAAAGAGTTTCAATTTCCGCGCATCGAGTGCGCCACATTTTGAGGCAGTGTAGGGCATCGCGTCCGCTCCGAAAGTTTCCCCTCTGGGAATGCGCGTAGCTCTTCAGGCGGCGCACTTCAAAGTTTTGAGCGGCAGCCTAAAAAACTTAGGCCCCGATGAAAAATGAGGCGAGCAACTTTGCCGTTTTGCCTTTTTCCAGAAACCAAATCCGCAGACGAAAGAGCTTTCGCAGAGCTCTGCGGCGCTTATTTGGGCAACTGCCCCATAGACTGGGGCCATGAATGGATTCCCAGCAATTCAGTGGCAAAAACTCAGTTTCCTTTGGTCAAATACACTATGCGTCAAGTTGCGCATATGTCGGCTCACAAATGGCAAGTGAAGATTTGCACTTTTGTTTGTCTGTGTTTTGTTTACATTTTCATTTTTGTTTTTGTTTTTGTTTTCTTTGCTTTTCTTTTTTTGTCGCTTCTGCATAGCAAATTGCCGGTGGGCACAAATTTACTGTTATTGTTGCTGTAGCTGTTGCTGTTGCCAGTGCAGTTCGTGGAGCGCTTAATTTCTTTGGATTTGGTTGTCAGTGCCGCTGTCAACAGTCGGCAGCATCCCATGCAGCGCTCGCTCCAGCTCGTGCCAGGTCCCCGTGGGCCGTGCTTTCACTCCATCCACTTTGGTGGCAGCGCGCACTTTTTGCTTGTCACATTTGTGTCACAAACAGGATGCCGCTGGCGGAGCGGGCGGAGCGGGTGGTGCGGGCGATGCGGGTGGTGTGGCTGTGACAGTCAGTCGGTCACTGAAAAATGTAGCACACAAAAGCAGCGCAGCGCACAAGAAAATGCAATGAAAGTTGTGCTAAGCGAACGTAAAACGGAAACGGAAATCAGCAGCAGCAGCAGCAGCGGCAGCGACAGCAACACTGAAACCAACAGCAAAAACAAAAAAAAAAAAAAATACAAAAAAATATGCCAAGGACACTAAAAAAAAATAAAATAAAATGGCAGCGAGCGTTGTCAGGCACAAATAGTTTAGCAAAGGAAACTCGAGCAGGGCATCGAGGCACAGCTGAGTGCAGCTAAAGCGAGGCGTAAAATTGAAAAGCGCTGCGGCAAACAAGCAGCATTGACTCGCACCACTCGACGGCCGAAGACGCAGATGAAGACGAGCACGAAGATGAAGATGAAGCGGCTAAATGAATGCCTCCTGAATGGCCAAGTAGCTGTGGCTTTCACTCCGACTGTTTTGGGCTGGCGCTGCGGGCAGATCAAATGCTGACGGCACGGCGATTTCATCATTGCCGCTCGCAATGCGCTGCCTGAAGGGGCAATTTGTTACGCAGCTCTGGCTTGCCAATGACCACTTTGGCTTAGAGCTGGCAGGAGGCGGCACCCACCCACCTGCCCCAACTGAGCATTTTCAACTCGTTTTCTTCTTTTTCTTCTGTTGCTGTTGTTGTTGTTGTTGCCAAGCCCGAAATTGTTTCGCATAATTTTGTAGTGCGAGCAAGTGGCGAACAGTGTCAAGCGGCAACTGCATAAATTGCCAGTCAATGCGCGCCGCCCGCTCGCCCCGGCCCGGCCCGTGCGACTCAATGCATAAACAAGCTTAGGACGCCGCTCAACGCTGCGCTGCGCTGAGGGCACTCGACAAATTTGCTCAGTTTTTGGGCAAATGCATTTGTCGGGGCTCGCTGCCAAAAGCGCTTGATTTGCCAAGTTTCAAGTGCGCCCACAGGCGGAGGAGCATTTCGAGATCTTTAAGCACGGCCAGCCAGGCAGCCAGGCAGCCGGGCAGCCGGGCAGCCAGGCAGACGGCTGAGGGAGGAACCACTGCTTCATTTAGCGGGAATTTACTTAGTTTTAATAAAATTTGTCAATAACTTTTTATGCCACGGCTTTAATTTCGACTCGACTCGTCTTGCTCCGTTTTATGCGCTCGCCCCCTCTCCCTCCCTCACTCTCTCACTCGCTCTCTATCTCTCTCAATTATTAATAGAATTTTTCTTTCTGCTTACGCACTTTAGTATTGCTGAAATTGTAATAACACGCTGCCTTTTATTGCGTTCGCGGATTGTGCGCACTGCGCCGTCCTGCTGGGGGCTTGGGGCTGTGGAGCTGCGTCAGGCACAGGCAGAGGAGGCACAGCAGGCGCGGCCTTTGTTCGCCGGGCGAAATATCAAAATGACAATTTACGTACATTTGCAAACATTTACTTTATGAGCTGTGCTCGCTGACAAAGTCCGCAATGAGGATCGGAGGGGGGCAACGGGGCTGATAGAATCAGGACAACGCTGCGCTTTTCTGGTTTTCCAGTTGCCATAGCGCCGCCTGCACAGCCGTATTTCAATGCTGGCGCACTTCACTTCTATTTGCAGATACTACATGGAGCGCAAGATCTTCCAGCATCTGCTGGAGCTCAAGTCGCTGCAAATACGCTCCAACAAGCTGAACGAGGCGGTGCTGGTGAAGCGTGCCGTTGACGACTATCACAAGTCGTGCGTGCTGCTGGGCGGCGAAACTGGGACAAGGCTGAGGCGTTACAATTTCAGCGAATATACGTTCAAGAATTTCGAGCTCTTCCTCTACGAGACGCTCAAGGGACTGCAAAAGCCGGGCACCAACAACTTCCAGAACATCAATGAGGTGTACGAGGAGGTAAGTGGCTCAACATATAGAGCTGATATAGACATATATCTGACGAATCGTCGTTCCCTTGCAGGCGGAGCGTCGTCTGAGTCCCGACTACAATGCTTACGAGAAGGCGTTGCACTGCACCACCAAGACGCACCGCTGCCTGCATGCCGCCCACGCCTACACGGGCATACCCTGCGCCGCCTACAGTAAGTCAAAGTGGGGGAGCTGGAAGCGAGCCGAGCTCCGATCCCTAAGCATTTATCAAAGAGCGTGAAAAATGACACCAGCCCAAGAGACAGACGAATAGTCAAACAGCCGGACAGCCGGACGGCTGGACGGACGTAGAGTCAGCTGGTCTTCCGGTCAGTCGAATCACTTGGCCACGAGCTGCTACAGTTTTTGCCACTTGGCTGCTGCTGCCCTTTGAGTGGGTCAAGCGGATGGGCGGCACTCGAACGCCAACCTAGGCACGGGCCCCGCTCGTGGATGCCAAATGCGCCGGGCTATAAAATAAATCCTAATTACGAGCAGTTTATTCATTTGGCCGGGCTGCCAAGCGCCAAGCGGCAAGCGAATTAAAATTCTGCCCCTCGGCTGGCCCCCGCTCTTCCCGGCCAACTTTCCCTTTTTTTAT